TTCACCAAAAGTATGTTCTTCAAGCTTTCTTGCTTTGTGTTTCGATATACATACCTTGTTACTGCATATCCCCCCAGGATCTATGATGTCCCTGGGTATTAGATTACATCTCCTACTTTTATTGTTACCTGGCTTCATGTAGTTTTACATAGTACGTCTATCCACTCCTGCGCTCCCTTGTTGTCGATTTCTTTTGTCGAGAATGCATGCTATTTCGATATCTAGCTGGACGATTCGCGAGACTCATACACTACCGGAGATATGGAGAATTAGGTCAGCCAACCACAACTTGTTCTTAACTCATCATGGACCCTCGCGATGGAACGTCGTTACCCAAAATTACTGAAGATGAAAAACTTTGGATTTCTGAAGGAACGCGGGAAGTTCTAATCGATTGTTTAAGGTTTCATCGGGTTGACTTTTCGAGTACTAGCTTCGAACGCTCTTCATCCTTCCAGTTCGACCAAGCAAGACTATAGGCAAGGATCTTCGATATAGACAAACGAGGCTTCTATCCTCATAGTCAAAACGATATCGACCGCTCCAGAATGTTGCCTTGAGGCAAATTATCCTCGAAAAGATGTCGTCGATCGTTTCTAATGCTCATCCGGCCTGCTCAGTCGTACACACACTTGGCGAAGCTAAACGGAAGATTCTCCAACGCTCAAGCCTCGAACATCACGAGCGGTACCTGAACTACGCTGTACGGTCACTTAGTTTTCTAACGAAACTGACTCTCAGGTTACGTGCCCCTGGTACTCGGCGCCAGGCTGGAGACACCACCTTTAAAAGGAGAACATTGGGATAACCGTGACGAAAAGGATATAGCATGGCGTGGATAGCTATTATCAAGTGGATAAATGGTACGCAAAAGGTTGATTTCAGCGAATTGAACGATTCTAATTGGTTAATTAATGGGCGCCAGACTTCCAAAGCATAAAGATGTTCTCGAACATTCCTTACAGTACGAGTCAGCGTTACTAGATATCACTCCATCGCCCAGTAATGAATATGTGCCGCTAATCACATTGATATTTGAATCATGCGACCGCCACAATAAGCGCCAGCTCAAGCCGCACAATCAAAGCTTTCCGAGCATGTGTCAAAAGGCTGTTCTGCAAGGCTCCCCAACTGCCGACCTTCTTACCCTCTTTCCTCGCTTGCCTGTTGGTAAACCCGATCTCGCTCTTTCATCGATGAACCTCAAGGATAATCAGACAACGGCGCGTAGCTTGCCTACAACATTGGGGACCGTACCGCAACAAGGGATTGATAGCTTGGATCCAGAAAAATCGATATCATCTCAGGTGGAGAGACGTGGTACGGGACTGGCTATAGTGCTTGAGTAGGGAACTGATGGTGTGAAAGGGATAGCGCCAGCTGGTCATGGCAGCGAGACTTTAGCAATTGCAGCAGTACGCAAACTTGTTCTCTGATACTGATCCTGTTTATCATGCTAACGTCCATTTCCAGGGCACGAGCGATATAGATCGCATTTCTCACGAAAGCAACGTAGGCCCATCCAGTGGTGCATTCATCTCTCCATCACATTTAACATCTCGATACTACAGGAAGAAGCGCAGGGTACCCCCGTATCCACAACGCCGCCCTATTTATTCGCTACTCCCGAGAAGCGTTCGCTACCTCTGCCGTCACCAGTGCCAGACCCAATCTTCAGTGAGTTTGTGCAGAATCTGGAGATACAATCAAAGGATTGAAATTCTACATTCAGACTTGTTTAGTACTGATATCAACTTCGAGAGGGATTTCGGACAGTGGTTCAATGATCCGGACGAAGTAACGGCCACACCATCGAATACTGCACCTTCGCTTTGGGCAGCATCTCTACCGACGCTATCGCAACAATCTTCGGTAGAGGACATGTTCTCGAGCGGTTTCATGCAGAGTGTGGCGAACCAATTGGAGGACTTCGATTCGAACTTGTTTAGACCAGACGGAGATATCGACTTTGAGAGGGACTTCGGACAGTGGTTCAATAATCCAGACGATGTAGATGCATTGGATATGAGACCTTGAGCGGTTTTAGTAGCGATGTTTTGGTGCGGTCGATATTATGTTGGGTGCGCGGATAACTTTCTGTGGTCTAATCCGATACATCTACTTGTTTCTCGTTGCTTGGTTTGTACTTCTTCCCTGCCAGGAAAGAGTAAGTGTGCGTGTTCTCTTTTTTCAATGACCTATTCCCTTATCCTTCACTGAAGTTTGTTCGTCAAGGTTTCGTATTTGTGTAAATATACATACCTCAATTCCGACGTAGCATGCCTAGTCTTCGGAGAGAGATCATGCCAGCCGATACACGTTGCTCTGGGTGATTACTGGGCGCTTGGTAGAACAGCCCGCACTAGATCAGAGCAGATTAGAGTCATAGGTCGATGGGCACCGCCTAATAAGGCACAAGAAGCAGAGTTCATTCGAGAAAGGCTATTGGACAGAGCTGAGCGCCAATTCAGCGCCGCACAATCAAAGCTTGTGGTGAAAAAGGTGTGTTCCGTGCATGTCAGAAGCTGTTCGGCTTGATCTTCTCACCCTAGGGCCCACGTTATCTCGCTTGGAGTATACCCCACTCACTCCCTCATCGATGAACCTCAAGGACAACTGCTCGCAGCAGGCAACCGAGCCTACTAGTAGGCAGCCATCGGCGTCGGGAACAATATCGCAGCAACAGACCGGTTTGTTGAGCACGGCGGCAACTCAGGCGGAGGACCGTGGTACTGTCATGGAAAAAGTTACTCAAGCTGGTCGCTCTGACGAGTCTTCTGCAGTTGGAGGGGTACACACACTTCTTCTTCGACTTTATTTTTCTGATTCTGTACTTAGGGAACTAACAAGACTACGGAGCCCACCACGTATGAAGGAGACGTACGACGATTCAGTGGTCCACCCGTATCTTTATCGTATCTGATAGACCAACATTGCAGGCACAACTCGGAGCGGAAGCACAGGATACGCCCGTGTCGACAACGCCGCCTTATCTATTCACGACACCCAAAAAGCGTCTATTATCTCTGTCACCATTCTCGGCAGCTGACATGTTTTCGAATGAGTTCATGCAAAGTGTGGCAGACCAATTGGAGGACTTTGATTCGAACCTGTTCAGACCAGATGGGGATATCAACTTTGAGAGAGATTTCGGACAGTGGTTCAATGATCCGGCGGAACCGATGCCGCAGCCTGGCATGACTGCATCCTCATCGTCGACGCTTTTGACGACACCGTACACTCCCTGATTGCCCCCTGCCGCAACAATCGCCGTCAGTAACTGACATGTTCTCGAACGAATTCAGGCAAAGTGCGGAAAACCAGTTGGAGGACTTTGATACGAACCTGTAGCTAGACCAGAAGGGGATATCGACTTTGAGAGTGGTGGTTAAATAGTCCAGACGTGTAGGAGCATTGGATATAAGGTCTTCGAAGTTGACGTTGCTTGAGTGCTATTGATAATGAGCGCATCCATTTCCGTAAACGGTGTTTATAGATTTGTGCAGTCCAAGCGCTAAGTAGCCTCATGAATGCTGAATAGTTTGAATTCACGGCAATGCGTACGACAAACACGTGCCATGTTGCAGGCACGGTGTACAGCCACCGTGACCATTGATTTTCTTGTTGTCCCGGTCCGCCATCCTACGCCCACAGTATGCTTTATGCTTCAGACCTTTAGGTATGCACATCTTTGATTCTTATGGGACCTAACTCAATAGAACAAAATTCGCAGGACTGGCCATTAGCATAGGTCTACGGAGACCTGAAGATTCGCATCGGAGTGTAATCAATCACTGTGAACAACCTCGACTTTTTTCCCGACGAAATGCGGTCGTCAAAACCCGTGGCCCACAAGGCTAAACCAACACTCGAATAGGCCTGCGGAATGCAGTTTTACCGCTTTGAATAACCTCTTCCGCGTTTTGTGGGCTTGGGCCATACACCTCTATCCGCCTGTGTCCCGGAATCCTTCGAGCTTTCTGGTACAGCAAGAGGACAGGCATGAGGTTTTCATCGAGATGTCATGTCGGTCCAGCGCTTTGATTCTCTATTACGTCGCGTTGGGCGAAAGGTTTAGCATCCAGGAACGCGATGAATGTCGGCCGATCCGAACACAAGCCAGGATATTCGACGTGAAACTTCCGAAAGCGCCTCAAGAATAATACGGAACGGAAAAACGAGCCATCCGGGAGATAGGCAGCCTTGGGATGCCCTGAAGGTGAGTAGTCGTCACTATAAAATGTACCGCGTCTCACCTCTCAATACCGGGTCTTATCGACTCACATCCTCTTCGATACCACCGACGCGTCGTCTTCCTCGTCATCGTCATGAAGTTCTTCGCAGCCTTTGTTGCTCTCGCCACCTCTGTCTCTGCGTATCAACTCAAGTTCAACTCCATCTTTGACGACCCTAACCAATCACTTGAGCCTCTTGCTTGTGGAGGGTTCGTACCAACAATCCTCTTCATTGAACCTTTCTGACGCAGATTCCATCACTCCAGTGGCCAAAATGGCCTCATCACCCGCGGATACCACACTATCGGCGACCTTCCCTCTCGAATCGCCAAAGGCGGCGCATCCAACGTCAACTACAACTCCCCCGACTGTGGATCTTGCTGGCAACTCAAGTACAAAGGAAACGCGAATCTACGTTATCGCAGTCGATTCTGCTGTGGACGGGTTGTTCAATGTCGCGAATTCTGGTGTCGACTATTTGACTCATGGAGAGGGTATTGCGTGGGGTACGGTTGATTTGGATGATGCGTACAAGGTCGATCCTGCGTGTTGTGAGATGCCTTCGGATGGGCAGTGTGATTGGCAGTAGTTGAGGATAGGTGAATCTCAAAGGCATGGTGTTTCTTGTTGCTGATATTGCTTCAGGTTCTGGGAATGCTTGGGTTTGGGTCTAGTAAGGGAAGGGAACATATCGGGCTGGACGTTCTGTACTTCCTAATGACTCGTAAAAAAATATGGATTGTTGAGACACCTTGTATCTTTCATGGCGAGATGGCCGAGCGGTCTAAGGCGCTAGAATCAGGATCGCTCCGCATTCGGATCGCCAATCTAGTCCGAAAGGGCGTGGGTTCGAATCCCACTCTCGTCAATAAAGGATGGTCATCGTGGATGCATTTTTCTTGTCACTGTGACCATCACATGCAGCTTCAGGCTCTAGTCTCTCTATTTTTCTTACACTCGGGAAAGGCAAGGTTGGAATCAGAAGGATTATGAGGAATATAGGCACGTTTAGTCCGAATTTACCCTTGACGGTCGAGCTAACTGATTATTTGGCGTGGTGTGCAGCGGCTTCGAAAGCTATGTATTCCAAAAACTCCGATGGCCGCATCCCATTTTTCAATTGAAGATGTCTTCATTCAATTTGAATGAATCCAACAAATATCACACAACTTGTCGGTCTTCGCAAGTCAAAACTACCATACAGTACGACGAGGCCGCAGCAACCACATACCGAGGAATGCGGACAAAGTTTAGTCGGTATTTTTGGGAATGGAAGGAGTTTTTGGAGGAATGGTGCGTGCAAGAGTGCCTGGATGAGTTCTAACGCTCATGCATATGCTACTTCACAGCCTACACGGAAAACGATGCCCGCCGTGTTGCGTAAAGCGGCAAGCAAACGGAAAAGAGAACCCAAGTATTCGACAATACCAAGCTCAAGTTCGACTTATTCCAATACAGCCCGTACATCTTTCGCAATGAACAGAGATACGCCTCCTCGACAGCTAGTTGCTCTTCTCGAGACTCGAGCTCGACGGACACCGTGAAAGTTCGGTGATAAGAATCTGATCCCCTTCAAACGAATTCCTCGACACACAGAATGGAATGACATGACCGGTGATAATCATCTCTGATGGAGGATCTATGTAGCTGACTCTTGATCCAGTCCGTTCGGTTCCTCTTTCAGATGTTTATCGAATGTATTGTCGCCCGTTGGACCTGAAACGAGAGTCTCCCTGAATCCTATAAAAGCTTCCCCAGACTTTTGATCCACCCCAAGTGCTCTCCTTCTCCAGTTGCACTTGCATTCAGGGTTCTTGTTCTGCCTCCACCATGATGAAAGTCGCTACCATCCTCACCAGCCTTTTGGTTGCCTCTGCTGCTTCCGCTGCAGTTGTCGAACGCCAGCTTTTCAGCGACGAAGTGTTGGCGACTAGCGCTGTTCCTACCAGCGACGCTGCGGTTACGGCTACTGTTACCCCTACCAGTGACGCTGTGATTACAGCTACTGTTGTCCCTACCAGCGACGCTGTGTTCACAACCAGCGTTACTGCTACTACCCCTGCTGGACCTGTTGACACATCACTCCCCGATCCAGCCTGTGGAAGCTACTTCAAGTATCTAGGCTTTTACCGGGCCAGGTACAGTGCAGCCTGCGCTCTGTTGGTATGTCATTTGCTTGGATCTTTAGGCTTGAAGTACAAACTGACGAAACGTAGGCTTCGACATGTCGGGCTAGGATTGAAGGAGGTCTTACGGATATTTGGTCCGACAACACTTGTGTTGCTACCGCTACTTGCCAGGGTGTAAGTTCCATGCTAGAGAAGTTCGGAGCGCTTCGCTGACGAGTATCTGAACAGACAAGCCCGACTGTCGGTATGGCAGGATGCCTCAACAATAATATCAGGGTTCTCGGGCATGAAGGTCAACAAAGTCTCAACTACAACGTACGTGAGGGTCAGTCATTCTCCTAGAACTCAACCTAAATATGCCATCCTTAGCTCTATGCACAAATCGTTGGAGACTGCGCTTGGGCTCCAGGTGGTTGCCCCATCACGCAACAGAACTACATTGATTTCGTCTATGGTACACTCAGCTCTATTGGATCGACTGTTTGGCCCGAGTAAGCTTCGTGTTTTGTTTGTGGGGTTAGCTGTGACTGATGTTCTTCGGTTTAGTGTTCAAGCTGACGTTATTGACCTGTGGTGGGCCGAACTCAAGGAATGGACGGCCACGGGTGACAGCGTTCCCTACCTCAACTTCAACGATTGGTTGCACTATTCCCACTCTCCTACGCCATACTAAATTACGATCTGGACTTTACGAGTAATGAGACAAGTTGGTGTTATTCTGAGCTAGATTTAGTGTTACTAGAATCGGACTCTATACTTAATAGTTGATATGATTGGTATCGATACCCCTTGCAAGGCTTGAAGCTTCAAAGCTTTACTTATTTGTCGTTTACCAAGTACATTTGTGAAGCTGTCACCGCGGTGGCAGGTGTTCTGATATCAATATCGGAACTTCAACATGTGACAACGCGGGCGCGTTAGTTGACTCAGAGCGCTAAGCGCTTCAACAACCACTACCGCCATGCCCAACAGGAAACGCAAGAGAGCCTCTCTTACAGACTCTGGTTACGACTCTGGACAATCCACAAAGCGTATACACTCTTCCAACGACGTGATCGACCTCACGGTGGACGACAATCATAATCACAATGGAGATAGTTCACGATCCGACTCTGATCTCGAAATCACCTATGTCTCCACGAAGACCAAGGCAAAGCCGAAATTGGTTGTAATTTCAGACGACGAAGATGAGGATGACCCCGAAATGAAGGATATATTGGCGCAGATAGCTGCACAGGAGGCGGACGAGAAGCTTGCTAGGGAATTGCAAGCCCAAGAAGCTGGTCCATCAGCACCGAGAGGGGCAAGGGATAAAGAAGATGACGAAGAGATGTTCAAAGAGCTAGACAAGGAATGGAACTTTACGGAGGAAGATTTGGCTTCGTTAACGCAAGACGAGGCCAACGGTTCGAAGACGCCTAGTATCACCGCCGACACCAAAACCCCTGACACCCAACTTGGAGACTTTCGCGCACTCTTTACGGCCGAAAGGCCTTGCACAAAGTGTGGCAACATGGTACCTTCGCCAACTGGATATGTGCGTGATACGCCCCTCATACTTCGGTTGACCATAGACTAACATTATGGTATAGGTCATGTTTAAAGGCGACGGTATACCTCCTTCAATCGGAGTCCTACTACACGCTCGATGTTCCGCATGTCGCCAGAACCACTGTAGAGGATGTTTCAAGCCAACTTCATGCACATCAGAATGCAAAGGCAAACCTCGGAAGGGAGAATGTGCTGTATTGGCATGCTGCGCCGAAGGTCGAGCTATTGCCATATGCGAACTTTTAGGAGGGTTCGACTGGCATCTTTTAGGGGAGCAAGAGTCATCCGCCAGTCGTGCGCAGGAACGTCAAGCAAAAGCAAGACCAAAGCAGAGTGTTGGCCCTGGAGGAACGGGGTATGGCATGGGCCACTCGTATAGCCGGTGGAGTCATCGAGAGTCACCGAGTTACCAGCCAAAGAATTCGCGGGCTGAGACTCTTTCGAAACATTGGGATGAGCTCGTCACTCGGGCTTTCCAACTTCTGATAGACTTGCTTCCTCGAGATTATGACGACGGTGCGAAGCTCTTTGACATTATACCTCATCCATCATTGGGGACTATAGTTGCACTCTCTATGCTCCCTGACTACTTGGCTAGTCTCCTTCGGAACGATTCAGGTTCGTGTTGTACAACTGTTTCTGAAGCTATTTAGCTAATCTTGATCCTAGTGGCGGATTGGATCAATAGGAGCGATGTTTATCTCGCATTGCTCAAACTACTTCGTCGCCTTGCTGACTGCGAGCTTACTATCAAGCTCTTAGTCGAACCTCGGTTTGAAAGGCAGAAATGGTCCGGGATCACCAAGTGGATGTGGGGCGAAGCAAACGTCGAATGGTGTCGTGACAAGACGGGAAGGATCGAGACAAGTTCTCCTTTGGTGGAGTACTTCCGCCGATTGACGAAGCAATGCGAAAGCTTTTTGGCGGGGGCTTCCAACTCTCAATTGCTCGAGGATGGAAGTGATGAGGACGCAGTTAAGGCTGCGTCACTCTGTGGAGATATCATTGCTGCAAAGGAAGAACTGGAGCGTGCTATGTCAGTCATGGGGATCGCTGCAGAATCCGATGATAGGAAGGGGAAAGGGAAGGATATGTCTGGTCATTCCGAAGCCGATGCTGAAAAGGAGTATGCTGACGCTTGCGAGAAGCTGGCTTTCAAACATATCGAGTTTGAGGTGTATGCTCCGAACGGGAACTTGGCAAATATTTATGGATACGCAACGCAACTCCAGCAGACGAGTTACACCACTGTTCGGAATCCGAAAGATCGCTTTCATTTGGTCAAAGAGCTGGCGGTTATGGCAACCAGCTTGCCGGAAGGTATATTTGTCCGGGTGGATGAGACCAGAAACGATACAATGTACGTTACATACACTACATCTTACTTTTCTGAAGCTTACTGATCTGATTCTCAGGAAAGCCATTATTGCGGGTCCTCAGTCAACTCCATATGCAGGAGGATTGTTCGAATTCGTATGTCACTGGACTCTCTGAACCGCGCTCGAAGCTGAAAAGGCTACATAGGACATATACCTCCCATCTACCTATCCCAATACACCACCGCTCGTCAACCTGCGTACCACCGGGAAGAATACCGTACGTTTCAACCCGAACCTGTACAATTGCGGGAAAGTCTGTCTATCTCTGCTGGGTACCTGGTCTGGAAGGTACGCTTTCGTGTCTTTCTGATTCCTTCGACTGATGAACTGTTCTCGGTGCAGCGCCGACGAACAATGGAAACCCGGGAAATCAACGATTCTTCAGGTTCTCATCAGTATTCAGAGTATGATCCTCGTCGAGGCTCCGTATTTCAACGAGTAAGTTGCTTGTTGCAGTTTTATCGACATTGGGATACTGCTTGTAACACGATTTGTAGACCTGGATTCGGACAAGTTAACTTGAATAACCCCCAAAGTATTGCGTACAACAAGAACATCCAAACACAGACTACCCGTTGGGCTATCGTTGATTGGCTTAGAGATGAGCATCGGAACGGCATGTGGGCGGTGAGTTTCAACCTTCAGCGCTAGCTTCATTTGCAATAAAGTGATTTACTGTGGGTCCCTTAGGATGTGATCAGCGCACACTTTCTGATTCGGAAGAACATTATCAGGAAACAGTAAGCCCTGCGTTGCAATAGTATCCTCCCGTCCTCTGCTAATACTTCCCATCTCAGATTGCGAGAATG